GTCCATGGCAATGGCATTGAAGCAGCAAAGGGTTTTAATGGCTATTTCTTCTCCTTCAACTTCAACCCTTCTTGGGTTTCACTCTCAGAGAAGCCAAGCTGAAACGGGTATGATTTTCTTTCTTCATACTTCCAGTAGTAGAAGTGGTAGGCCAAAGTACCAAAAGGGATGCTCTTTTACAAACATTGAAGATGCCTTGTGTTGCTTTAATCACATGGTTCATATGCATCCCCTGCCTCGTATTATCGAATTTAATGATTTTTTATCAGCTCTTGTCAGAATCAAACATTATGGGACTGTGCTTTATTTGTCCAAAAAAATTGAATTGCTGCAGATCGAACGTGATGTATGTCATTTTAGCATTTTGATTAATTGCTTCTGTCGCTTGCAACGTGTGGATTTTGGGTTTTCTGTCTTGGGGAAAATCATTAAGCTTGGTTTTGAACCCAGTGTTATTGTTTTTTCTACTTTAATTAACGGGCTTTGTATTAAGGGTAAAATTGCTCGTGCTGTGGAATTTTTTGATGAGATGGTGGAAAGAGGCTATCAACCTAATCTACATACTTATACCACGATTATAAAAGGTTTGTGTAAGATTGGTAAAACCCCTGTTGCTGTTGGATTGCTCAAGAAAATGGACAATGCAGGTTGCCAACCGAATGTTGTCACATACAGTACGCTTATTGATAGCCTTTGCAAGGATAGACTAGTCAAAGAGGCTTTAGATATCTTCTCTGCAATGAAAAGTAAAGGGATTCAACCGAATGTTGTCACTTACAATTCCTTGATGCATGGTCTATGCAATTCAGACCAGCTGGAAGAGGCGTCAGCATTGTTCAATGAAATGATGAGTTTCAACATCTTGCCAGATGTAGTTACCTTCAACATTTTGGTCGATACACTTTGCAAAAAGGGCAAGATTTCAGAGGCTCAAGGAATAGTCAAGACAATGATTGAGAAGGGTGTGGAGCCTAATACGGTGACTTATAGTTCGTTGATGAATGGATATCTTTTGCGAAACAGAGTTTTTGAAGCTAGAAAGGTATTCGATGCAATGATAACCAGGGGCTGTATACCTGACGTTCTTAGTTACAACATCTTAATCAATGGATGCTGTAAGGCCCAGAGGATAGATGAGGCAAAACAAATTTTTGATGAAATGAGTTTTCGAACCACTGCTACTTACAACACTCTTATAAGTGGTTTGTCTCAAGCAGGGAGAATTTTTGAAGCAAAAGAGCTTTTCAAGAATATGCATGGTCAGGGCTGCATGCCTAATGTTCTTAGTTACAACATCTTAATCAATGGATCTTGTAAGGCCCTGAGGATAGATGAGGCAAAACAGCTTTTTGATGAAATGAGTTTTCGAGGCTTAATTCCAAACACTGCCAGTTACAACACTCTTATAAGTGGCTTGTTTCAAGTTGGGAGGATTTTGGAAGCAAAAGAGCTTTTCAAGGATATGCATGCCCAGGGCTGCTCCCCAGATCTAGTAACTTACTCAATTTTGCTTGATGGCTTAAGCAAACAAGGTTACCTTGATCAGGCATTGGAACTATTTCGAGAAATGCAGAATAATTACTTGAACCCTGATTTGGTGATCTATAATATCTTAATTGATGCCATGTGCAAATCTGGGAAGCTTGAAGATGCAAGGGAGCTGTTTTTGAAACTCCATGTCAAAGGATTGCTGCCTGATGTTCGAAGTTGGACTTCAATTATCAGCGGACTTTGCAGAGAAGGATTGCTAGATGAAGCATACAAAGCTTTCAGACAAATGGAAAGGGATGGCTGCCCACCAGATTGTTGCTCTTACAATGTTGTTGTCCGAGGATTTCTCCAGAACAACAGTGCATCAAGGGCTGAACAACTTTTTCAGGAAATGTTTGATAGAGGATTCTCTGCAGATGCCCTGACCAGAACCTTGGCAGCAGATCTTTTGTCTAAAGACGACAATCTTGGTTTGAAGAGGTTGCTCGGTGAATCTGAACATTGTCAAGGTGAAAAGGTGATGTAAATTTTCTGTACCCAGTGCTGCTAGTTGTTGGTGCAAATATTACATGACTTCTCTTGGTTCAATCCTGTCAAAATTTTAACAATATTCACTTTCTTTTGTTTCATGTATTTGTTACTCTTTAGGACTGGCATTCACCTATTCTAGGTTATATTTTCATGCTAGCTCTTTTATGTGTATCCATAAATTTAGTGTTGGGTAGATTACCTGAATGAAAGTCATTCAAGTTTTCCTGTAAGTTATTAACTTATTTAAATGTTTATCATCTTGAATGACTTCAAAGACTCTTTTGCTTCAAGCACCCTGGATTTCTTCATACATCAATTCTTGCTGAAAATAATCCCTGTCCTACTGTATTTGCTAGATTCTTGGTCATTGTGCATTTCTGTATGAGGATGGATGCTACTCCCACTTTTACAAATAAAAACAAAAGAATATGGGTATGATGCCATTGAGTTTTGTTTTGTTTATGCTTGTTTGTTTGATCTTTTGATCTGTTTGTGGATTTGGGTGATATATTAATGGTATGTTACCTGGAAAAGAACTTTAGATCTTAGTATTCAGTATTCTAGAATTCACATCAGATGTTTGAGATCAATTAGGTACAAATGTTTATATAAATTTGTGGTTGATCAGAGTTAAGCAATGAAAGCAATTTAATTTTTCTCTAAGTGATTAAACATTTTTGAATTTTCATATTAAATAACTTTCAATACATGTATATGTATGCTATCTTTTTTGTTTCCCATGATGGTTTCTTTTGTTTGTGGATAGGATTGTATGTCTTTTTATTTGTTGAATATATATGTTATGTTTTCAAGGAATAGTCCTGTATCTTGAAGTTTTATGTTGTACAGTGGGAATTAAACTTCATGTGATTAGCAACTAGGCAGGTGGGATTTGAAAGAATCGGTATTGAGTCCATAGAAAGTAGCATGTACTTCTAATTTGAACTACTTACCCTCTATTTAGATGCTAGGTTTTTGAGGTGATATGACATTGTTTTTCGTGCCGCATTACTCATCTTTGCTTTTTTCTTCCAAGAGACCTTGTGGTAGTTGGGTTTTACAAGTTTGAAACTAAGATGTGTTTGTCAAATGATCCATAATTGAGATTTCAAAAATGAATTGCTATGATATAGTCACCTGATCTCAATTCTACATTAAGTTAAATTTGACAAATATTTTCTTCATAAACATTTGTCTGAAGGTCTGCAAATGTTACTCTTCACTCCAGATTCTGGAAGATAGACCGGTTTCAGAACTCAAATTAATGTGCTTTTTTCTACCAGGAAATTATCTCAAGTTCTATGATGCCAAAAGAAGTGCCTCTCCTGACATCAAGATAATCCCAAACTGTGATGGGTCTTCTCATTCATTGGATCACCCAGCTGATTACTACGATTTTCATGTAAACATCCCGTCACAATAGCTTTGTTTTCTTTCTGTTTTGCAGTATTGTACTTGTGTGTATTTTCATCAGTAGGAAAACAGAATGCTAATCCTCTTTTACTCTTTGAACTAGGTTTTTACATCTGCCAGCAACCTGTTTTCTATGACTCATAAGTTTGATCGCACATCCTGCACTTGTCCAAAGGTGTGTCATATGCCTTTTGACAACATACTGACTAAAATATGTGACAAATATTCATGGGATTTACTATTTTTGAGGCTTCGGTGAGTGACTATGCTGTGACTGGAAATGATGTGGGCACAGGAAGTCTTTTAGCTGCACTCGCTGATGCCGGGTTCCTCATTGGTCTAAAAAGGAACAGGTTTGTAATACTTGTTCCAGCAATCTTAAGTTATTTCTGAATGTGCTATTCAGTGATCAAGGGTCTGAAATTTTTAGTGCCTTCGTGAACAAATTAATAAAGAACGCCTTTGAAATAGTGAGTTATCATTCTATTTGATGCCATTTCCGTGGTATTGTGTCGATGACAAGCTGTGCACCACTTTTGTGTGAATTGCAAAAATAGGAGGTGCAATCTCATTCTATTCCTCAATAATTAATTCAAATTCAAGCATGCATGGCAAGGAATATCGTTTTCTTTTCAGGGTGCTGACACTGAAAGGAACTTTTATATGAAGGTGGAATCCAGATGCAATTGTCTTCAACTCATCAAAGCACTATGGAACTCCGAGCTACTGGGTGCAAAAATTCTTCAGAGAGTCAAGTGGAGCAACTCTTCCTGACGCTAAGCTACAGACAAATTCCTCTACACTTTTTGCATCTGCAATTACTTGGCAAAATTCAAACTTACCTGAAAATAAAGGTATGCTAATACCAGCATAGCTTGCAGGGATCATGGCCTAAACACCAATTTTAAGTTTTTATCCTTTTTTTTTTTTTTTTTTTATCAATGCTGCAAGTTTGAATCCTTCTCCAAGTGTGAATTTTGGGAACAGCGAAGTGAATCTCAAAGTTTCCATTGATGGATACTCATGATTGTCTGGATCAACAAAAGGTGCGCTCACATCCTCTAACGTAATGGACGAGAATTCCTTCGTGGATCCAAAAAAGGTTTCTGACATCTTTGTCATGACCCTCTGAATTTTCACTTTAATTTGGTATTCAAGACCCATATCTGAATTTTCAATGTCCTCAGAACCTTTCAATTCCAGTTTATGTAGCAAATCTGCTAACTGTCTTGGCTTCTTCACGTAATGCAGGTGGTGCCAGCACAAACTATGATCGAGAATGCTGACAAAGACATGGATGTTGTACTCTCTCCATATTCTTGAACTTCATTTGATTTGTTAACAGAATCACACAATATCAGGACGCCACAGAGTGATTCTTTCTCAAGATCATCAAATTAGAAAAATAAATTAATGCATGATGTTTAAATGTACGAAACAATCAAAATAATGTTACTTGTGGCTGGTGTTTTTGCCTCCTATTTATGTTAATTTAATGTGCATACCATAAATATGCAAAGGACATCAGCAATCAGGGACCATCTTCTTCTGCCATGGCTGACGTGAGTCGTTGTACATCATCTCATATTAGTTTCAAAGAGTGGCGCAAGGGTAAGTATGAACGCAACATGGAGCACTCACAATGGAATGAGCTTGATCAGTATCTAAAACAGCCTCCGGAGAAATTGGATAAGGATGGTGACGTATTAGCTTGGTGGCGAGACAATGCTCAAAAATTTCCAGTGCTGGGGAAAATGGCTCGTGATTTCTTAGCAATTCCAGTATCAACTGTCATTTCCAAGTCATCAGAGGTTATTAAGATGGCATCAGTCCTTGACTGTGTTCGTCCTGAGATAGCCGAGGCTTTGATATGTGGAAGGGATTGGTTGGACAGCCCTAACTGGAAGTAAGTTTTCCTTTTCTTTGTGCTCGATTTAAGTGTGATGCTTTTATATCACTGCTATCTGTTTATTTTTTTCTTCTTTTTTTTCTTCTTCTTCTTTTCTTCAGCAATTGATCCATGTTTGGATCCTCACTGGTAGTTGCTATTGGGAATTTCGACCGGTGATGTACTGATATTTGCTCATAGGAGGCCAAGCACACTGACACAATATTTAACGTGGTTCGGCAAAACCGCCTACATCCACGGGAGAAGCCATTGCATTATGTAAGGAGAGTACAAGATTTACAATAATAGAGGAGGAGGAATCATCCTCTCTTTGAGCAACTCTCAACCTCACTCTATTTCTCTCATTTTGTGCTGCAATGGCAGCCCACTCTCTCCTACATTTCTCACCTTTTTGGCTCTACTTCCTCTCTCTCATTTTGCTCTCTCATATATGCCTTTATTTATAGGCATTCATGGAAGCTCTTCTTGGTTTGTTGTCAACATTGATGGCTACCAACTCTAGCTCATTCAACAATGGTGGCCACCAACTCTATCTCATTCAACAATGGTGGCTATCAATAGTCAATGGTAAATGGTTGGTGCCTTACATGAAATGACAACCAACCTAACAGTTGCTAGTACTGTGAAATAAGTTTTTACAGGTAAACACTGGCCTTCTCTTTTATTTCCAAGAACAAGATTTGTCTGCAGAGTGAAAAATCAGAATGCGCATACAATCTGCAGTCTGCATGAACATTAGAACTAGGCTGGAAAGTAATTCTGAAATGAAAACAAATAGCTAGTAACAAGGTACATTAATTTTCTATGGCGCAGGGTCAACCAGGCTGAGCATATCTGACTTGGATGCTGTAGAAGAAGAGTACTGGACATTAGAACCTGAAGTGACGAAGACTTATTATTTGCTTAATTTTATAGATGTAATTTGAAACTACGTGTGAGTCCGTTTTGGCTTAAAACAAAGCAAGAAATTGATTATTGTTTTTTGGTATTTAATGGTTTTAACATTCTTTGTGAAAAATAAAAAATCTAAAAAAAATATTTAAAAAACAACATTATCTATGTTTTTAAAGAATAACATAACATGTTTTTAAAAAACTATGTTTTTTCTTTATCAATTTAATTATTTAAAAAATTTATTTAAAAAAATAACAACAAAAACATAAATAAAAAAAAAACATCATTATCCGTCACTTCACCTATTTTTTCTTTATCTATGTTTTTGTTGTTAACTTTTTTCAAATTACGGATTTTTCCGATTCCTATTATTATGTTTCTAAATTATTATACGTCTTCGAAATTATTTTAAAAATTATTTATTTTCAGAAAGATTTTAGGTGATGAAATTTTAAAAAATATAATAATTAAAGTACAATTTGATCTAAAATTGCGGATAATTTTAACAATGTAGCCAAATTGAAAAGAGAAAAACAAAGGACCATTAGAAAACGTTTCGAAACTTGAATGAAGGTTTTCCTTTCGGTCTTTTTCTCTGGGAGAGAGCAAACCAAGGTAGAGCTCACTTTCCTTCACCAAAGAAGCACACAGAAATGTCACGGGCAACGTAGACCGGGAAACCCCTCAAACCATAAAGATTGCAGATTTCCTTTCAATCAAAACGAAGATGTCCCTCCTCCTCTCCAATCCTCTCACCTCTCTCTCTCTTCCCTTCCCTCACTTTCATCTCCAACTTTGGCCTTCAGTGCAACCCCAGGTACCCACTTCTCTAAACTAGTCTCATGTTTGCAGTTTTTGCTAATATGGGCTTTATCGAAGATGCATTTTACGACTTCTGTTTTTGAACGCTTTTTTGTATAAGCTTATTTGGCTTCACTTCATGCTCACTTGGCCGTTTCATCAAGCACTTATCACTCGCCCCCTAGGTTCAACCAGTTCCTGGATGCTCGTGCTTTCTAAATTATTTAGATGAAGACTGGTCTTTTCTCTGTTATAACCACCGATTCAATGGAGGGTTTGCTGGAAATTATCTTTTAAACCCACCGATTCAATGGAGGTTTTGCTGAAAATTACTAAATATTTGATCTTTCTCTTGGATTTAGTCTTAAAGGCAGTTACAATAAAGTTTGTTTATTTTGCTGCCGTAACCTATAATTGAATCTGGGTTGTGCTTGAAATTACGAAATATTTCATCTTTCACTTTACTATAGTCTTCAAGACCCATATCTGAATCTTCAATGACCTCAGAACCTTTCAATACCAGTTTATGTGGCAAATCTGCTTTGGCTTCTTCACGGTATGCAGGTGGTGCCAGCCCAAACTATGCTCGAGAATGCTGACAAAGACATTGATGTTGTACTCTCTCCATATTCTTTAACTTCATTTGATTTGCTAACAGAATCGAACAAAATCAGCATGCCACAGATTGATTCTTTCTCTAGATCATCAAATTAGAAAAATAAATTAATACATGAGTTGTAAATATACGAAACAATCAAAATAATATTACTTGTGGCCATAGTTTTTAAACCCGGCCCGGTGGCTGACCCGGTCCAAGGCCCGGGTTCCGGGTTTTGACCGGGTCGAACGGGTCGGCCGAGTCAATTTCTATTTAAAAAAAAATTCAAAACGACGTCGTTTTAATAAAAAAATAAATAAAAGTCAACGGGTTACCACCTGGTTTTGACCGGGCTTTGCCGGGTTGGCCGGGTCACATCGGGTCATGACTTACCTTATTTTTTCATCAACCCGGCCCGGTTTCAGCCCCGGGTCGGCCGGGTCCCGGGTCAACCCGCCGGGCCGGGCCGGGTTTTAAAACTATGCTTGTGGCTGGTGTTGTTGCTTGCTATTTATGTTAATTTAAGAGGCAAATTTCACCTTGTAATATAATATTACCAGAGAATATAAAACATGTTGCTCTTTTACTGTGGATGCTGAGACATTTTGACTGCGGATTGTGGCAGTGTGATACCGGTTTTGCCCTTGGTGAATTCATTGCTGGGTGTTGTTGGGCAGCTGCTGTCTTGGTTTTTGGTTGCTTTCTTTGTTAGATTGCCCGTACTACATTGCGGACATTTATAAAAAATATCAATGTATAGTAGTGAAAAAACAATATTTTCTAAAATTAAACAAGTAATAGGTCTTGTTAATTTTAAAATAAGGTTTATTATTTTTGCTCATGATACAAAGTTTGACATAATTTAAAAACAAAATACATAGAATAATAATGCATGCTATTTAAGCACACCAACAAGCTTAACAATAGAAATACTAACATGAAAGTCTAACTAATAAACTTTATTTTAAAATTTATAAGCGCTTCCAAAATATTTTTTTTATAAAAAAGTAGAAAAAGGTAGAAAAGAAAGCTGGATTTTTAGTTTCTCTGCCTCTGCTTTCTCTGCGCTTGGTTTCTTTTTTGGTTTATCAGCATCTTCTATTTTGTTGTCATTTGTTGCCATCTACTGTTTTGGTTGTGCTTTGTCCATTAAAAAACTTCTGTGTGGTCGTGTTGTCATGCTCCTAGCATTACAGGGCCAAGGTGAGATTTAACCAGCAACAATCATACAACAACGTTTGAGGCAGGGGATCATGTGTGATCTTATGCATAAATTTCTTCCCTTTTTTACACGAATTTTCGTATCTATCAGCCACACCACCTGCATTTCTACACTTGTGCATGCATGCCGATGGGGTTAATACTTTGCTAGCCTTTTTTCGGGTTTCCCTTCAATTGAATTATAGAGTACAATGCATATTTATGGATGTGGAGCTTGAGGAAACTTCTCTGATCAACAAAAGGCCAAACATTGACTTAAGA